ATATCGATCTTATGACATCTCGATTACGATGACGTAATCTTCTTCGCGTTCGATAGAACATTCCGGATCTTACACTAGCCACGATAGGCGGAATGACTCGAGATGACTGTGCGCAATCGCTATTGGTCCATACCGTTGAAAGTCGAACGTAATTGGTCCTTCGGTCGCCGAGCGGATGCGCGCATGGCACATGGTATGGTATTTCTGTGCAGGTCTTCACGGGAGTTGCATCATTACACGTGAAGCTGGAAGAATACCGCCGTTTTCTGCCGATTCCTTATTAAGTTTGTATCGAAAGGAAAAAAGATGTTGACCGCGAGATTACTGAACCGCAATTACGTCGGTGTCGCGTGTGACATCGCGAGGAAGCAACAATTCAGCACGATTTTGAAAAATGTGAGTACTGTAGAGCAACATCATCGCGGATTTTTTCCTAGCCTTTGCACGTCGCTAATTGCACGTCGTTTAACGTGAGATGCGTCTTTATTGGCAGCGCTTTTTGTCTTATGCGATAGATTCTGGATTATTTCGCGATTACGCATCGCAATAAGTTTTCGCCACACCTAATTCCACCATGACGCCGATTTTAAAGCCGGCACGTGAGTGGACCTCACGCCTCGCAAACGCTTTTAGATTTTTTAATATGCTCGATTTTCTCTGTACTTTTGTATTTTATTACTATTATTTAATATAATTGATCACATTATTCGCTTCAAGATAGTTTTATTACATAGATTTTTTTCTATAACAAAATCTACCTGGTTACAATGAAAATATATTTTTGTGATAAAATCAATATTGCTTCATTTGTTTAAAAAAAATGTATATAATATATATATATTAATGTCTTTCTTGAGTATTTGTAATTGTATTCGTTTTCTCTAACTTATTCCACAAAATTTTTAATAATCGTATACGATCTTCTGTGATAAAATAATTTTGTTGATTATGTAACAACTCTGTATTATTTTTTATTTGTATATTTATAAATTTATATTAATATTTTATAGGTTGCAGCTTCAACGGTTACTATATCACATCGACTTACCGATTTACAACAGTATCGACATAAGTAAGTAATTGAAAAGAAATATATATCAATTATATATGTTTCCCTGATTTAGAATAAGTTTAAGACATTTAAAACATTTTTTGTAGATCCGAAGGTGTAAAAGGTGCAGTTATTGGTATCGATCTTGGAACTACATTCTCCTGTGTAGCAGTAATGGAAGGCAAACAAGCTAAAGTTATAGAAAATGCAGAAGGTTCTAGGACCACTCCCTCTTATGTTGCATTTACGAAAGGTAATTTTATTATCAAATAATATATTTAAAAGTTTATTAATTTTTTTTATATTGTAATCTATGAATTACAATTATTTATAAAATGAGTACAATGGGAAAGAAACAATTTTTGGAATATTTTTAATTTAATTTTGTATTCATTTAATTTAACCATTGTCTATTTGATTTTTCTTTGCAATAAATAAATTTTTCTCTTCAGATGATGAACGCTTAGTTGGCATGCCTGCCAAACGTCAAGCAGTAACAAATTCTGTTAATACATTTTATGCAACAAAACGATTAATTGGACGAAGATATGAAGATCCTGAAGTAAAAAAGGATATGTAAGCATCATATTTATATTTACACAGTTTATTATAATATAATTATATTTGCTAATATTATTACTATTATATAATATTATTTTTATAGGAAAAGTGTAACATATAAAATTGTGAAAGCATCCAACGGAGATGCATGGGTACAAGGTGCTGATGGAAAAATGTACTCTCCCAGTCAAATAGGAGCATTTGTACTTATGAAAATGAAGGAAACGGCTGCAGCTTATTTGAATACTCCAGTAAAAAATGCTGTTATTACTGTACCAGCATATTTCAATGATTCACAACGACAAGCAACAAAAGATGCTGGACAAATAGCTGGATTGAATGTTCTTCGAGTTATAAACGAACCAACTGCAGCTGCACTTGCATATGGCATGGATAAACAGGAAGATAAAATGTAAGAAAATTATATTTAAATTGATTTATATAATATGAAAAGACTTGAAAAGCGTTTGTGTAAATATAATTCTTATTTTTGAAAAATCCATGTATCTTAAACATATTGAGATATTTCTCTGAAAGCTGTGCGATAATATTTTATATATTTTGTAAAAGGGAAAATAGATGTGATTTATTTGTATTGTTCTTTTGTTTTTTCAGCATTGCTGTTTATGATTTAGGTGGAGGTACTTTTGATATCTCAATTTTAGAAATCCAAAAGGGCGTTTTTGAAGTAAAATCTACAAATGGAGATACATTCTTGGGAGGAGAGGATTTTGATAATGCATTAGTTAATTACCTTGTATCTGAATTTAAAAAAGAGGTATACACACGTATTTTGCAACTAAATAAAATTAGTTATTACATTGAAATAAATTTAAAATCAATATCAATTAACAATTTTATTAAATATTACAGCAAGGCATAGATGTAACTAAAGATGCAATGGCAATGCAAAGATTGAAAGAAGCTTCAGAAAAGGCTAAAATTGAATTGTCAAGTTCTCTCCAAACGGATATAAATCTACCATATCTTACTATGGATTCTAGTGGACCAAAACACTTGAATCTTAAGCTATCCAGAAGTAAATTTGAGAGTCTAGTAAATGATCTGATTAAACGTACAATTCAACCATGTCAGAAAGCGCTTTCTGATGCCGAAGTAACAAAATCTGATATTGGTGAAGTTTTATTGGTTGGTGGCATGACTAGGGTTCCTAAAGTACAACAGACAGTTCAAGAAATATTTGGTAGACAACCATCAAAAGCTGTAAATCCAGATGAAGCTGTAGCAGTTGGTGCTGCAGTTCAAGGAGGTGTACTTGCAGGAGATGTGACAGATGTTCTACTTCTTGATGTTACTCCTTTGTCATTAGGTAAATTATTATTTAAATCGTTCTATTATTGTGTTTATATATATAAAACTATGATGTATTAGACTAATCTTCTCTCTGATGATATATGAAGACATTGATTTGCTGAGTTTTTAATTATTTAACTTTATAAATGAAGTTGCATTATGTATTAATTAAACCAAAAAATCACATTTTAAATATTTCTGTATAGGTATTGAAACACTTGGTGGTGTCTTCACAAGATTAATTTCTCGAAATACAACTATACCTACAAAGAAGAGTCAAGTATTTTCTACAGCAGCAGATGGTCAGACTCAAGTCGAGATTAAAGTTCACCAAGGCGAGCGAGAAATGGCTAATGATAACAAACTTCTGGGACAGTTTAGTCTTATTGGCATTCCACCTGCCCCAAGAGGTGTACCACAAATAGAAGTAACATTTGATATCGATGCGAATGGTATAGTGCATGTATCAGCCAGAGACAAAGGAACTGGGAAAGAACAACAAAGTATGTAACTTTTCTATAATATATTTTATATGTGTATGAAAAAGAATTAGTAACACAATGATGCTTATATTTTTCGTCTCCGAAGTTTACTTTAAAATTGAGTAAACATGTGGATTTCCATAACTGAGTCGTTTTAATAATAATAAGGTATTTTCTATATAAGTTATCATTTTAGTCTAACTCTGATTTTTTTATTACAGTTGTTATTCAATCTAGTGGTGGCCTTAGCAAAGATGAAATTGAAAACATGGTTAAAAATGCTGAGCAATATGCAAAGGCAGATAAAGTTAAAAAGGAAAGAGTTGAAGCTGTTAATCAAGCAGAAGGAATTATACATGATACAGAATCGAAATTAGAAGAATTTAAAGCACAATTACCACAAGAAGAGGTATAATATTAATAATTGTTTTTAACATTTTATATGTGAATATCTTTATATTTACTTTTTTCTATTTTATAGTGCGATAAACTTAAGGAATTAGTTGCCAAACTACGAGAGATCTTGGCTAAGAAAGATGATATTGAGCCTGAAGAAATAAAGAAACAAACGAACGAACTCCAGCAAGCGAGCTTGAAGCTATTTGAGATGGCATACAAGAAGGTATGTTTATATAAAAATTATAATATACGCGATTACAGTGCTATGTACATCTCAAGAACTATTATTTAAATATGTTGATTTTACAGATGGCAGCAGAAAGAGAAAGCCAAAATCAGTCACAACAGGAACCTGAAGGCGAGAAGAAGGAGGAGAAAACTAATTATAATTAGATAATTCATACTTTGTAAAAAAAAAAAGAAAAACAGATTCCATTTTTGCACACACTTGTATAAGTATCTGCTGTTTTTTGCTCTCTTAAAAGAGTAATTTATTATATATAAAATCAGTTTCGATGATTTGTGCGAACAATAGACAAATTAGAAATTAAAAAACAAAAGTATTATGTCTATAAAAGAAAAAATAATTTCAATTCTTACAAAACGGCTTGAATGTCTTAACATACAATAGTATGATTGTAAAATGATTTGTACCAATAACAATGAAAATAGTTAAGTTATAATTATGATTTTATGAAATACTATATAGTATATAAAATGAATGAATCTGAGATGAGAATAGAATTGAGAGAGAATGAGATGAATGTGTATTTTGTGCAAAACAAGTTATTCTGTAAACAATACATAATACATAGGTAATTGTAAAGAACATTGTTGCATTATGCGATGTAATCATCTTTTACTTGAATTTTTATTTAAATATCTTTAAGAAACAATTTTATGATTTTGTTTTGTTATTCAATAAATCTCTTAAATTTTAATGGGTAAAATTATTTATGCTATTAAAATAATGCAACTAATTACTATAATCAGATATATATTTCTATTCTTTATCTATATTTTCGATAACATTTTCTTTTGCAAAGTAACTGCAATACATTATTACAATTACATATTACATAATTTATTGCATTTTAATAGGGCTATATGCACATGCGCAACGAGAAGATTAAAAATTCCCTAGAGAGCCATCGTCTAGCTCTTTTTCTCTAGCCATGATTTATCGTTTTTAGTCTTTAGTCTTTATACGTCATATCGGGTTTCAGCTGTCAGCTGATAAATATATACATCTTTTTTCATCTTTTTCTTTTTGCATCAATGTGCATTTTACGTACATTTTCTATTTTATTCCGAAAACAATGATAAAACACATATTTACAAAGATTTGATGTCATTTGATAATAGTATTTGATGTGTATGTCTTTAAATATGTATCTTTAGAAGAATATAGAGTGCGAAGTGTTTAGGAGAGGTTAAAACTCATTAAACAACTCTCGTGTGCGATCTCATTTTTTTTTTTACAATATTAAAGCAGAGCATGTCGGATAGTTCTGACGACGAATTAAATTGTGGTGATAATCACGAAAAAACGCCGTGGATTTTGTATAAAGACCGCGATGAATGGAGTGACGTGACTCCTTTACCCCAGGATGATGGACCTCATCCTGTTGTAGCAATTGCATATTCCGAAAAGTGTAAGCATATATAATTCTAAAGATTATATTATTAAGTACATTATTATTACTGAATTAAATATTATATAGCACATTTGCATCTTATTTTTTTATATTATTAATACATAAACTTATTACCTATAAAGAAATTTTATGCTAATATAATTATAGTTTTATATAATTTTATATGCTTTTATTTATCAATTATTTATTAATGTTGATTTTTAGTCAAGGATGCCTATGATTATTTCCGTGCCATTCTGAAGTCAGGTGAAAAGTCAGAGCGTGCATTAGCTTTAACAGAAGCCTGTATATGGCTTAATCCAGCTAATTATACTGTATGGCAATACAGAAGAGAGATCCTTAAAGCTTTGGCAAAGAACTTACAGGAGGAATTAAAGTATACAGATCGTATGATAAAATATAATTCTAAAAATTATCAAGTTTGGCATCATAGAAAAGTCATCGTTGAATGGTTGCAAGATCCTAATGAAGAATTAGCATTTATAGAAAGTGTTTTATGTAAGGATGCGAAGAATTATCATGCTTGGCAACACCGTCAATGGTGCATACAAACTTTCAAGTTAGTATATTTTTATAACTATGTATATATGGAATTATAATAAATATTCTTCTATTATATATAATACATATGTATATAATTATGAATACAGTTTATATGACAATGAATTGGAATATGTAGAACAATTGTTAAATGATGATGTTCGTAACAATTCTGCTTGGAATCAGCGATATTTTGTCATAAGTAATACAACTAATTTTGAACAAGAAGTGATAAATAGGGAAGTTGATTTTGCACTGGAAAAAATAGAACTATCAAAAGGAAATGAGAGTGCTTGGAATTACTTAAGAGGGTAATTATATTTATTTATTTTTTATGTATAATTGAAAGTTTAATTAAAGAAGCAAAATAATATTAAAATAATATTATATATATAATTTGAATATATGTATATATATATTTGTTTACAAATTATATTTTTAGAATACTGTTACATGATAGCAAAGGCTTAGGTTATAATGAAAAAGTAAGACATAAATGTGAAGAAATGTATAAAGAAGGATGCCGCACCAATCATTTGTTGGCCTGTATAATTGATATTTGTCAAGAGAAATGTTCATCTGATGAAACCCCATTTTCTTTGTTTCACATTAATTCTGCATATGAAGTAAGTCAATTTTTGTGTGTGTATAAAATTTCTTTTAATATATTTGATACCTAAAATCCAATCTTTTAGGTTTAGCCAGTTTAAGTTTTTCTCCTTTCTCTTGCTTTCATTGTCTTTCTCTTATATTTCTTGTTTCTATATTTTATATTATTCTTACTTTTTATTTTTCATTGAATTCAGGATTGCCATTTAAAGTTTTATTTGGAATCGCAATACTTTGATTTATTGAATATATCATGAATTATTTCTGATTAATGTCATTGTTTATACTTTTTTAATTTGTGTATTTATTTTATAGTATAATTATATAATATTTTATATTATACATTAATATAATTATAATTGCAATAAAATATGCACTTAATGTTTTAGCTTTGCAAGGATTTGTCAAAGAAATATGATACAATAAGATGGCGATACTGGAATTATGTGGCTAGTCAGCTAAAGATAAAATTGAAAACAGAACCTTAAAATTAAAAATTAGAACAATCCTACACCGTAAATTGTTCAAATTTTAGACAATGTTTATATATGTCAATCTATATGGTTGATACATCTTGGCCTCATCATCGCCTCTTTATCTATACAAATTTGTATAATAATAAAATGTTCTCAGAGTAATTTGCACAATTGGTATATAAAATAAAAGTATCTTTATCTGGAAATGAAATTAGGGTTTGTTAACTTGTCAAAATTATGTTATGTAAAATTTAATATCACTTTGAGATGTATTATACCAATGAGATGTATTATACCAATATTGTTAATTTAAATAAAATGACGTGCATTACTTTTTATGTTGATCATTTTATATAGTTCCTGAAACAGCTGCAAGTCTTTGATTATATTATGATCATTTATATCAGTTTGCAGTTCCAGAATTTTTACATAATATTAATAAGCTAATAAAATTGCTACATTAACATTATGCAGTATAAAGGTCGGTAAAATTGAAAGATTTTTCTAATTGGATATTTATGGTTTCCTAATTATTAATACGTATGCATGTTGCTTTGATTATGGTATATTTTTTTTTATAAAGACGTATTTTTCTGAAATATTTCGATAGATTAATTTTTTACTTCTGATATCCTTAACATAAATATAATCGTATAATCAAATATTTTACAATTTTCTACATATAATTAAACTCTATAACATTAATAATAGAGCAAATAATAAAGCAACGACATATATATATGTGTTGGTTGTCTATTTATTTATAAAATAGTTACATATTTTTAAAATATAGATTAATACAATAAATAATTGATTTAATTAATTATAATTAATATGTATATATAATTGCGATAATAACTTTCGAAACACAATTAAAAAGATGATGCAAAATATAAAATTTTTTAAACAACGATACATAAAATTGTGCTTAATATACAATCTTTTCAAATTCTTATTCTTAGATAATACGAAAAATTTCGCTTGTATGTTCAATTGCTATCTTTTCGGGACCCAAATATTTGAAGTGAGAAATGACGATTTTTGTTTCGGAAAGGGATGACAATGACTGCAAATGTTTCATTTTTTTCAAAATCTGCGTGCAAGAAAAGGCCATGTTGAGCTGAATTATACACGTATTTTACATAATAAATACACATATTGAAAATTGCATTAAATAAAATAATGACACAATATTGATATTGTGTAGTTAAAGATAAGAAACGATCAATTAATAAAATGCAAGTTGTACGCAATTAAGGGGACTTTCAGTATTATAGTTTGGGTTGAAAGGATATAACGCCGAATCCTGCTATCCTAACATTTAACAATCAACATCCAAACGATTATTTCTTTATGCGCTTTTCCTCGAGTGGAAACATATCATCTTTGTTACCAGAACACATTTAATTATTGACTAAACAGCTTCCTTTTACTACGAAACGTTGCACATGTCGTCGATGATTCACGACTAACGTATCACTATCAAAGAAGTTGTTTCCACCTAGGTATTGGCGTATTGTTAAAGCTATGAGATACGTAGTCTTTACCACAAGTATATACACATACTTGATTTACATTGAAAATATATATGAATATTTTTTACCTGTTGTCTTTTTTTAATCTGTTTAAAATTCTCCATTTTTTAACATTATAATAAAATTTCTGTTCAACTTTGTTGTATTCAACGTACGATGCTTGAGAAATTACCTAACATATCTTTGTAATGCATAAACATGACACATATACTTTGTCGTATAATTATACAATAGTTGATTTTGGATAAACAGGGGAATATCTTTATATAAATCAGACATATATAGCTCTGCATCTATTTCAATAACAACTATTAGACTGTTTAAAATATATGTTGCTAGGCCATTTAAAGTCATATTTTAAAGTACATTACAAATTAATTACTTTCATAAACTCAACATAAATCTATCAACTCAATATACTCGTATATTGGTATATATAGATATATTTCTTGTTTCGAAGTAACTACTTGAAGAAGTTTGTATGTTAATTACAACACAAAAATTAAAAAACATATATAACTATGATTTAAATGTTAATTTAATTAAAAATTTAATTAAAAATTTAATAATTAAATATGAAAAAGAAATATTTTATTATATTAAATTTAATTAAATAATTGAAAATTCGTTTTTGTAATTTTATACGACTATGCAAATGTGTCTCTGCAATGCTCTGTTTAACAACATTTTATATATAATTATATCTCTTTGCACGTACTTTTCTCTCATACTTTGCATAACACAGGCTATTCTTGAATGATTGGACCATCTGTCAGCTCTTTCTATAGTACGTGTATATATAGCTTGATGCCATAAAATTGTTTATTATTTTCTATTTAATAATCTCTTTTTTTTCAAATATACGCACACACCCGTGCACATAAACACACACACACACACACACACATACACACACACACACTTTCTTGCTCTCTGTCTTCCTATTTTTCTTGAACTCTCGTAAACAACAAATGTTACTTTTCCGTTTTGGTACTTCTATCATTTTCATTTTTGCGTCACTTTGACAAATCAAATCATGTTTTATTTTCTCTGTCCAGCAGCTATAACGTCTATGATAAATATCACCGAAAGTACTTTCGGTTAACTATCTACAGAGAAGAGATAGATTTTGATAGATCTTTGAATTCTATTCGAGTATAATCTCTCTACATTAAAAGGGTCAAGATAGTAGTACTCGCGGCTTTGTGGAGCCTTGTAGCTGAATAGTTAGCTACACATGAATAGTATCCACGTAATAGAATCGATCGAAAAGATATGCTCTATTCTATCATTTTTTCCAATTATTTGTTTATTGGAAACAGTATGACAAATTTTAAGACCAATGCAACCAAAAATCTATATCAACTATACATATAACAGCCGCATTAAGTTATACAGATTTTTTGAATATTGAGAAAAATAGCGAGAGATAATTTAATTTTATGCAAATGTTGATCTTGCGTAAGCACATTGAATAAACTAATTTGTCTCGTTTTCTTTTAATTTTTTTTTATATTGTATAGATTGTTATAGAGTGTTAGACATGCAACAAATATGCTAAAAAGTATTTCAATTTTTTAGCGATCAGAAACGTACTGAGATATTTACGAGTTTCCTTAAATTTATTTTGTATGTGTGCATTTATGTAAATGCAATTTATTGTATGTAAATACAAGAATAAATAATCAGTCTAATAATGAGAAATAGTTACTGATTTTTATCTAAAGAGAGATCGAATTTAGATCTGATAATAAGTTTTTATTTTAATTTTAATAATTTCTCGTGAATCATAAATGAATTTTATTTCTAAAACATTTGCCGATTATATTTTTAGAATATGATAATTGGATTTTAGGTAATCATATATCGAATACTTTCTGAGAAATAAGGAAATATTATTCTATCAAATTTTTAATACAAACAATACTACAATTAAATCTCTGTTTCTGATCGCGTTATAAAAGAAAAGTTTTATTGTCCAATAATATATATGTATAAAACTGTCAGAGTATCTAAAATCTAAGGGAAAGTCACAGTACGATTATAGCTCATAGTTCAGCATAGTATAATTACAAATAAGTTAAATCAAAATTTTGAAATTATTTAGCACTGCATATTACTCTTTTTCGTTCGCATAACACATTAAAATCGAGAATTGATATCTTTTTTTACTGCATACACACACACATATATATATATATATATATATATATATATTTATATATATTCTTATCTTGCAATAATAATTATCAAGTAGCTCGTTTTCTTATCGTTGACATAAAATAATTTGTATTGTGTAGCAAGAGTTAAATTAAAATCAAACTTTTCTATAGTTTTTGATAAATTATAATTGAACTTACATTACTAAAAGTTTACGACATTTCCTCTATATAACTCGATGTTTGCGAAAGAAGATAACATGCAGTTCGACGTTCTAGCATATAATAGAGATTAATCTAGCTTAGAATGACAGTGACAAGTATAGCGAGGCTATAGAGAAGTGTATACTGAATTACATGTTTTTAGCAGAGAAAAAGCAGACGTAATACATGCGCAGAGAGATATGAAAAAGACAAGATGAATTAAACACACAGTGGCGTTAAGGCATAATTAGAATTTACATCCAAAATAAGATACTAGAACTTTGTCTTTCCTTATCAATTACTATCTTGCAGCACATGCTCTCTTTTTACATCTTGTAAATTTAATAATATTCCAGTTTTACCGTCAGTCTAGTTTTGCGTTAAAAAATAATAAGATATTATTCTAAAACTAATTGCGGCGCATAAAAAAGCTCACAACATATTAAATCTAGCTTATTTTCGATTAACCATCGTGGGGTAAGAGTACTTGCTTCTTTCCCTTCTCATGTTTTAAAACTAACGTCCGATCGAGCTCGAAATTATCTATGCGATACAGTTACCCCGTTTCTGTCTTTTATACACTTACTTACGTAACTTCAAAGACATGCGGTAGTGATCGAGTTGATATGAGACAACATTCGATGTTTATCTCAATTTACATGTAAGTCTTATGCTCTATGAATAGGCGCTGCTAAAAATCGAAGAAATCTTTACGCCTGTAATTCCATCTGTGTATGCGACCTATCTCTTTGTTTTTCTTCGCTCTGACATTATTTTTTTTATTCGCATTCACTTCTATATCTATTCCTCTCAACGCTCGACATAATTATTGATGCATCGCGTGAGTTAGAGTTTTGTCAGCTTTGTTGTTGAAGAAGAGTTAGTCGCCGTACTGCATTACTCTCTAGATCGGAGGAATATTCAAATATCGGCTTGCGACTTGTTATCTCGAATATATATTTTATAAGAAACGTACTCGTAACGAAAGAATATGTATTTGTATATATATCTAAAATAAATAATTTACATTTTTCGTTTATTTTCCAATCTATAATATCAACAATTTTGATCAGATTCGCTAATTTCGAGATGCATCGAAGATATTCTCGTTTCGTTCGCTTGTCCATTCCTCCTTATTTATAGTTAACCAGAAGTAGGCAGTGATAGAAAATGATTAAATATATTTCGCTCAAGTAAATCTTCTTCGCCCATCGCGGAAGCCTTGGTCCAGTCTCCACGAGTCGTTGGATAATTATAATAAAATGTACACTTCGCGTATATTTTCGGCAACAGAGATCATCCGAACGTCAGATTCGATAGAGATTCCCTGCTCTTTCAATGCATATATATTTCTTTCACACTTTTCATTTTTGGTTAATTTAATTTGCTTCTCTCTTTCTTTAGCAGCACGCAGTTTTTACGATCTAGAATCTTACAACAATAATACGCTTACCTGTCACAAAAATAAATATTTTGATATCGCTTACCATATCTACATGCTTACGCACTAGAAACAACAAATCCCGCTTGACATGTCCAGCTGTATAACGGGATTCATGATAAACTTTGTATATCTCATTCGTGAGTTGACGCTCATTCTCACATTTAACTTTGTCCTTTGTGTTGCAGTTTCCATATGCACGCTAAACTCACACGCTGTTACTATAAATTGTACGAAAATTACAAGCATTTATATGTTTATTGCAATTGTCTAAAATGCGACTGAATATATGCTTGTGTTTTCTGCCGCTGCAATATATAACTCAAAAACACAATTTTTAAGTACTTTAATTAATGTATCTATCGTTTAAGATATATTAAAAAATACGTATAAGCGCAACGTAATATTAATACCGAAAACTTTAATTTAATATGTAAATTTAAAAAAATATATATAATATAATTATTGTATATTTCTACCTTTTATATTTTTATATGGATGTGTATGTTGCCTGTTCGTTAACACGGTATATAAATATCAACGAATAGTAATTTGAGTTGAAAATTTCCACAAGAAAAATAAAATAGAATGCGAATAACCGACATGCATAAATCTTTAAAATACATTCTGAAACATTTTGCGTTTACGACTTACGATAATGTATAATGTCCACTCGATACAAAGAATCGCTTTTATTCACTAACCCCACCTTATACTGACTAATACTAAAGCTTTATGAAATTGTTACACATCACTTTGCCGACACTTGAGAGCTACTAGGGAAAGGCTCATTACATACATTCTTTTGTAAAAGATATTGTGCTATTTGTATACGATTTTATCATTTTCTAAACAAATTTCAAGCAAAATATCAGCAAATATCAAATTTATTTTAAAATATCGTTATAACACATGCTCGTTACTTCGACTCCCCAATCTGTTCATTTATTTTTTTATATATTTGCAGATTCTGATATCTAATCGTACAAACATTCTATCTGTCAGACAGCACGCCGATCAAATATTCGCTTAGTTTTCACTTCTATCACAAAACAATTATATTTGTTACTCTTTGTTATATTATTCAAGTCGCAAAATTCAAGCTTTAATACTCCATTTATTGATTCCATTTTATTTGTATTTCCCTATTTTGTTTTCAATAACAACTCTTCTCTTGCATATCTAGAAATTTTACTGAGTACATTTTTTTTTTGAACTAGTATATGCGCAAAGTGACGCAATGTCGTCTCTCGAAACAATCGATTCTGAGAAATTGTCATATCAGTCGTTTCAAGACGACGGGACACATCTTGAGGAATCTTTTTCCTCTGGTCCAGGGAGTTAAGGTACAACATTGAGCGGTTTATTTCTTAACTGAGTGATCCTTTCAGGTCCATACTGTGTATCGCGGACGCTGTGAGTGTCAGAAGGCAGTGTCCAGAGCTGCCATGCTGGTCGAGATGTCCGGATCTGCTCGACAAGCCTCTAAGAACTCGGATAGCGTCACTACGCCGTCCCTATTGCCATCCATTTTCTAGAACAAGTAAAGTCCATTTATATTTGAAAGTTTTTCCTATAACGTTTTAATGTTTATTAAAAATTTTCAATTATTATTTTGTTGATAAATGCTAAAAATGGAAAAGTTATATGTACATCGTTCAATTGGAGAGATTAAAAAGTATTCAATTAATCACAGATTATACTAATCTGATAATTGGTTCACATATTTACATGAATAAAACGATGGTATATGTAATTTAATCGACTACATCTTTTTTAATGATTATACGTGATGCTTCAGTAAAATATAATAAAGACACATTCTTATATTTTATATAAAATTATTTAAATAAATAATTTTATAGTAACTTTTAGTATAACAAATCATAATTATCATATGTATAAAAATAATAATAAAAATGAAAATATTAAATTTATATTGTGTTATAATACAACATAAACCATTTTATTATTCAATGAATGCTGCAACTATAATAAAGCGTTGTGTCAAAAAGTTGATATTATGTAAAATGTTATAATGATATTATGTAAACTTTCTATAGAGAGGAAAGTACTAAAATCCGCTCCGTAAATCTCTCTTTGTTTCACGTCACGGGATTGCAGATACATGAAACCTGGCAACTCTAACATGATTGACTGAACTATGAATAAATAGAATTATTATAAAGCTTAAACTCAGAAAAAACTCCAAGTTAACCTAGATTGGACCACCATACTGACCCAAGACGCTTTATTATAAAGAAAAAGAAAAGCACACGTAAACGTCTTCTCACACTTTTGCGGTGGTACGTCGATGTACACGTATATATGCGTCACTTAAAGTAGAACTGATCAACTACGGACCGGGCGGTCTGACTACTGGAAGTCTATTTCTACTGCGTCGCGCTTTCTCTCTCCGCTTTTCTATTTATTATATGCATTATTTATAATTTATGTATAACATCATTATTTTTGTGATATATATAACTTACTTTATTAATATTATTTTATTTATTAATATTAATATTAATGTTAATTTATTAATATTATTTTTTTCTATTTCATTAATCATTCTATCAATATAATCAATATAATCAATATAATAAGTTTTTCTTTTATCATTAATATAATAGATCATAAATAATTGTATGCACAAGTAAATGTATAATATGTTTGCGATATAGTAGGTTTCACATTTTGCACATTCTCTCTCTCTCTCTCTCATTCAAATATATTTGGACAGAAACGCAACCACTACCGGATGTTAATTATCTGCGATTCGTGGCAATCTATCAGATCGAGTTAATTTGCAGAACAAACATTATCGAGAAAGTAGAGGTCGGCCTTTCACACCGTGTTGTGTGCATGTATGAACATTTAGATTGCACGGTAGTAAATCGGTCATCGGCAGGTGAGAATCGCAAAATTATTACTGCTCTCACATTGCGAAACACAAAGTCGATGTATGGGAGGAGTCTGTCGCTGTGTGCATTGCATTGAATGGATTAATTGATGCCACGACTTACTATATGCTATGGTACATTATTGTAAATTTGTTAGTAAGTTATAGTGAAAAATAATTATCGCAAATCTAATTTTGGATGAATTTAAAAGAAAATTATAATAAAACCGATATTATATAACATATAGAATAATGTTATAATATAAAAATAATTTTAATATAAAAAGCATTTTATGGTACAATAAATTTGATTTTAATCTTGTACTTTAAAGAAAATATTTATTGTATCACGATGCAAGCTATTAAAAGTCCATCGGGTAATATTTTATGGTAATTTTTGATTAATCAATTTTATCAGTAATTTTTCAGTTTGTATCATTAAATATGTTTGATATTTTCTATTAATATATTTTTATTATATACATATATACATGTATATGTTTTGCATTTTGCATATATATTTTATTATTTCTTATATTTTATTCGCGCGTAACGTAACATGAAAACGATTCGGTATTATCATTAAAAATTGGCAAGGCAACCAATTTTCCTGAGATGAAAAGTGTGCTAGTGATGAGCTAGGTGCGCAGTTTCCAGGAACAATGGGACGGATTTAATCGTGATCTAAAGCGAACGAAACTGAAATGGAGCTCGTTTTTAATTAGTACTACATATAACGTAGATATTCCGCGACCGACGCTCGTTACTTCTTTCCTCGTGATTAATTAGCAACGATTTAATCGAAACAGAGATATCCATATAACAAAGAAATATTGCGAAAAATTAAGAATAAATTGCAGATGAAAGAAAGAAAAAAAAGAAAAAGAGTATAAGAACACATGTAAGTATAGAAATAAAAAATGTATGTATCATATAAGATATGATGTAAGATATGAACAAGTTAATTGAAAAGTTTTGAAGAAATTTTAAGAAGACAAGTATTTTACCATGACAATTTTTTTCCGTTTATTTGATATTAAAATTGTATATGATGGCAACTAATTAAAATAAATATAACTTAAATAAACATAGAAGTGTATCAATACTTGGTTCGCATTTTTCAAACAATTATGTATAATTATGTTTGCTAAATTTTAAAAAGTAATCTAAAAAGAAAGTTTATTGATGGAATTCTACATATAGAGGGTCCGTTCTTTCACTGCTTTACGAGCATATTGAGAATCTTCGTAAGCGTTCAATGCCATTGTGCTGCTAGAAGTTAGAAGTTTATAAAGTGTCCACCAATCCATTTTTCATTCGTGGCTTGTATTCATAGCTTGAAGTTAACTTTAATAGTGCTAAAAAGAAGCAAGTTAATAAAGTTTGAAGATCAAAAAGACAGACGTATACGTTTTAGTATTGTGCAAGAAGTTTATTAATTATATTTGTAACTAATATTATAGATTACTCTGCATTAAAAGATATTTATAACAAAAACTCTTAAATTTATCATGTATTTCACACAATTAAAGGTCTGTGTAATATGTCTTTTGTAATATTTTTAAAATTTTATGACCTTGTATAAAAATAGTATATGTATATAATTTTATATTAAATATGTGTGTATATTTTATAGTAAAGATAAATCAATTCTTGAGGCAACTAAAAAAAAATATATATCAATTTTAGCATTTTTATTAATTTGTTATATGATAAAAGTAGATAATATCTTTGATATAATTTAAAAAACTGTTACGTTACTAAACGTAAATGCGAGGAGCCATTTAATTAATGCACACATACTTATATATTTTCACTTTATTTATTCTTCTGCGTTAATTACTTGATTGAAATAGTGTTTTATTATAGATAATGTGTAGTAAATAAAATCGAGACTGATACAAAATAGAAAGAAATTTAGAATATATAAAAAGTATAAGCACATTGAAGTAAGGTTGATAATACATACACTTTTTATTATTCAACAAAATAAAAAAGCTAAATAATGAAAGCGCTTATAATAAACGTGAATTACCAATAAACAATGGATTTATGAACACGATATATCAGCAATATGAGTACTTCATCAGTCATGAGTACTTCATCAATCGGTAAAAAACTTGACATCGATAACGTGAGATATATACCAAACATTTAGTCTCCCATTTATTTATTTTCTCATTTATTTTTGAAGCACACGTATTGTGAATTTTCTTGTAATTTCATCTCAAATCGCATTTGCTATAAGTTGAAAGCACATCGTGCAAACGTTGCATGTATAATGACGAAAAAACTTTTCTCATTTTGTATTATTAATTTTTTTTTTGTACGCAACTCCTATCATTATATATTTTTCATTTTTTATTACTATAGTCTGGTCTTATTTGCCACATTATACTTCTTTGTCGCGCAAATTTTTTTTCCAAAGTATGTAGCAAAATTTTCAAGTATTCGAAACATGAAACAAGAAGATGAAAAATCATCTAAAAGAGCTATTTTGTCTTGAGTCACATTCTTCAAGTTTTTCCATGAGAGTCTTAAATCAATTTACCAAACTCTAATATTCGCAAAAGGAAACTTTGAATATCTAACTAAGATATGCGTATCTATGTAGATTATACGTGTAATCTCATTTTTTGTCTATAAATTGAAATATTGTTACAGGCTAATATAATATATGAGAAAATTTATATATATGTACAATATGTAATGTATATTAATGTATTTTTAACGAGTAATATTATTCGTTCCACATGTATATTAATGGAACTCGAATTTATACTTGCGCATTTATAATCGATTATTGAATATGATTTATAATGTCATCATCAATATTCTTTGCACGCATGCCGCACCAGGAGGTAGCATCCCATTGCTACGGATCATTCGCGTAGCACAGATGGTATTGATATAACGACAATAAAGTTTAACCGTCAAGTAACATCTGCACGTAGAACTTTGGATAGTTTCTGGTTCACACAGATGTTTCGATTTACGGTGAATCACAGAATTGATTGCAAACTAACGAATTATATATCAGCTAGATTAAAGGACTTAGTTGTAGAACATCGACAGGTACTTAGGAATAATATTTAATTGGATAGCAAGCAACATTTAGTAGTTTTACTCTACTATTATCGAATCGTTTCCTGAACTTCAATAACATCACAAATGCATTAATTCTACAGAGTTTTAAAAAACATTAATTCTACAGAGTTAAAAAAAAATGAGCTGATATAATATATATCTATTTTAATTTTCCAATATCACATTTAAATAAAATAATAATAGATTTTTATCTTTCGTCATAACTTTGAAATTTATTTAAATAAAAATATCCAATTTAATGGTGATCCGCTCTATCTCAAACAAAAAGATTAATGCTTTTGTCGTGAGAATAATTAAAAACTTCAATATTGTGTTTATTATTTAATGTGTGGCAGCGCACAGAGGCTGCAAGTTAGATTGAAAAGCTAGCTAGTTCCTTGAGAAAATCCTATGAGGAACTAAAACCACAGGCAATTAGAATTTAAACTATCCGTATATACATGTGAACGTAAGGTGTGCGCACATATACTGCGGTTCCCCGAGTTAGAGCTTCGCGTGTTGTGCTAATCCTATCTCTCTTATGCTCCCGCGGCCGTACACACGACCGCGAATGCGCATACCGTATGTATCGGTGTGTATGTTTCAGCAGCAGCAACCCTAAACAAGGCGTTTAACCTTTCTGGTCGCGTCGTCTTACCGTCGAATTTGCCTTTCCTTTCAACGTCAGCGAGAGCGTAGGAAGCACGTCAACATATCTAACTGCGGCTACATAGAATCGAAGATGAGGATCTAAAGTCATGGCAGTTTAACGTGAGCGCCGGTAATAGATTGCGAAACAAGCTTCCGACCTAAAATTCCGTATTTTCCGATAGTATAATTGAATGTTAATTGAATGATGATGCAAAAGAGCATTTGTTAATTGCATACGTCAAGCAAAGCAATTTACTTATATTATCACTCCGTATCTTTGAAACTTTATTTCACTTCTAACACATTTTTGAATTTAAAAAACTTTCGCAGATAAAATAAAAATTATATTATATGTTCTTTAATGATCTGTCTAGATATCAATCTACTACTAGTTTTAACTGAATAATATTTGTCATGAATATTACGAAACAGCTATTTCAATAGGCGCGCATACCTGTTTTACGCGAATTGACCGTCAATATATCGTGTTCTAAAAACGCTAACTCTTTGAACTTCATTTGTCATAGAGTTGACGAAGCGTAGATTGTATAGATTGTATCGAGCAGAGAGAAGATATGTCATCTGCGCAAATTGTCTCTGTAAAACAGTTTGCTCCTTTTTTCGCCTGTAGCGGTGAAGTTAGGTGAAGAAAACGAGTGAACAAGTGCACTGCGGGTATTGTCATCCGCAGCTAACAATGTGACAGCTTATAAAAAGAAAGGCTCGTTTCTGTCTTGCTTGATACACTTTCTGCAGACGCTCGTTTTCTTTCGTTGAAGTGAACGATTTATCGACAGCTATCGCGCGAGGCACAAAACTCATTAATTTAAACGTTTTGTTTACTCGAAGCTCTTTCGAACGATTTCTTTTAATTCAATTACTTTTAATTCAAAAAAGTTTACTTTTAATTCAGATCTTTTATCTAATTTATTATAATTAATTGTGTGCAATTAATCAGATTTTATTTTTAAACCGAATTAATTCTAGAAAAATAAAATTTTGTGTTAACTACTCATAATATTTATATTACATATTATATTATATTAAATGAAAATTTTTTTTGAGAGCGAGATTCGAAGATTTGATTTCGTTTTCTTACCTGAAACATACGATCCACTTTTTCGCGTACGCCTTCAGGATCCAAGTTTGGATCAGAGAATTTTCCCATCAGTTCATATACGGCCGTCACAATGTCCGTCATCTCTTCTCTCGTAATGCAGCCGTCCCCGTTGATATCATAAAGAGAAAATGTCCAACGAAGTTTTTCGTCTATTGAGCCGCGGGACAATATACTCAAGCCCGTTACAAAATCCTGGAACATAAAAATCATCATTGTATCATAGCAGTGTAAATATTGTCATGAAAAATTCCACATTTTCTGCATTGCGTGAACATACTTTGTATTTTATCAGATATGTTTAAGCTGTCTTATAAATTGCTACTTCGTAAATGTGATAAATGTACTTTGCTTATTTTTAGAGTTTTAGTTTTGTTTTTTTTTTATATTTTGTGTGCGCAAAAGTGTGGAACTGCATTTAATCGTATGTTAATTGAACGAATAGCAAACGGTATGTCAGGCAGTAAACTTTAGTGTTCGTTGGCTGAATTATGGTGCGGCGTTGAACTTAGAAAGATACTTAGTACAGATGTGAGCACATACCGTACGAGATTTGTGGTCGTGTGGGTTAATGCATTTGTAACTTACTAAATTATGTGAGATCTGAAAATGTGATTGTTCCACGCGTTATCATTAAGTACGTCGTTGTTACAAGTCACTCTTTGCTTCTTAATTCGAAATTATTAGTAAATTGTTTACTAGATATTAATTAAAATATACAAAAAGTTATTTTTATCTCCAGACTATGCAGCAGTTTTAGAAATTAGATGAATAATTTACGTAAAAAAATCAATGATATATATAGAATACAAAAATACATTTATGGAAGAATCTTACAATACTATATTGTTTAAAAAAAAAATTGCAGCAGATATTTATTTTCTAAATTATACGTAAAACAAAATTAAATAAAAGCGCAAGTTGATTGATTAGTCAACACATTCTTACATTCATAGTAATGTCAATGCAGTCATGTAAATCTTGTTCATATAAAAAAAGAGTGCAATAAATAAAAGCAATGGTATTTCGGAGAATTAGGTCGCTCGCACAAAAGCAATTTAGACAGAGCGTTAAATTTAATCGTGCATGGTGATTAAGCAAATAATGACGACAGCGTTACCTCGTTGGAGATAAATTATGCTATCAGTCAGCTAAGCTGCGACGCAGAAATCCAGCTACATATTAATATACACGCATATATAAACGAGAAATCCTGGACAAGAAGTTTGTGTATCGCGCAAAACACATATATTGGACGTTTAATAGATCCTTAAGTAATAAAATTGATGTGTGTAATTATTACTAGAATAACGATTGAATACTATGAAAATTTGTCTAGAATTTCAAAGACGATGACCATAAAATAAACTAGAGATGCAGTAAGATTTCACTATGCTACACATACCTATATTTAAATTCATTATAAAATGAGAAATGAATCGCTGCATTGTCATGTCCATGCAAATTTAAGAATAGTTCTTATAATATGTAGTAAGACATAATAGCGAGTCTGACGTGTTTATGTTTTTGTTTGCGACGTCCTATGATTAATTCGCATCAAATTTTGTAATTATCTGCCTGAAGTAGATAAACAGCAAAGGGAATAAATTGAGAGTATATGTATCTCTTTATTTGTACCTTTTTTATCACATTTAAATACGTTTTCTACATTTAAATATGTTTTCCACATTTAAATATTTTTCTTTTTTAATTAATATACAATAAAATTTTTACTATCAAAATGATATTATTCTTATGGATTCCATTCATTGTAGCATTCTCTCAGAGTTCTCCCGAATTTATGGGAAAAGTTTTTTTGCTAATTGTTTTTGGTAGCATTTGATTCCAAACATAGTATAATTTTCTTGGGATGATATATTTAAATTGAACGATATCAAAAATTTAATACTTATCTCCTAGTAATAAAAATATTAGATAATAATTTGATATAATCAACACATAAATTATAAAAAATAAATTGCATGTGTAATACGGTTCAGTAAAAATAAAAATTTTAATGAAAGATAAATGTAGCATGTAATGATTCTTTACTTTTCATTTTCTCATTAATCGATGTATTTATAATACTCTTCCTCATATTTACCACGATGTTATTATTACTTTATGGTCATTTAATATGAAGTATATGTGTATAATTGGATAAGGATTTTTAATAGTATTTCATATTTTGACATTTTCAATACTTTGCAACACGTGCGTGTCCTTTTCTTCCACACTTTGATTTCATTCTCTTCAGTTCTCTATAATTTATTTACTTAATAATCAATCAAATGTTCGGAAAAGATAAAACAATGTAAATCTCGAATTTCTCGGTACACATTTCAGACATTTAATCACTCTTTTTATTATGGACAAGTTGTAAAATGATATGTATTGCCCTCGGTTAATGGTATTTCTGCGTTTAAAAGCGCATCCACTAAAGCTGTTGACTTAGCAAATTGTATTAAGCGATCAGAAAGAATAAAATAAAGTCAGCGAGATGAGGGAACAAAATAGTGGTAGACACTAAATGACTAAAGGTAATGGAGTTTGGAGCTAAGATAAAATGTAAAAATAAGATAAAAATATATATAGAGATAGAGAGAGAGAGAAAGAGAGAGTGTGTGTGTGTGTAGAACCTATATACATATACATGGAGATTAAAAATAAAATAGAAAATATATGTAGAGATTAAAATAGCAAAAATATAATTTTTGAAAATTTTTATATTGTTCAATATCGGAACATTCTGGTTTATATCATAACATTATTAAATAAAAAAACATAATGATATGTCTCTTTTTAATTATGCATTATATACAACAAATATTATTAATAATAGTATTATAATTTATTAGTAATTATATATTAGTAATTATATATAATAATTTATTTCAAAATTAAAAAAGTTTACTTTACATTTTTATCTTTTTCTATTAAAAGTTTAAATTGAGTTATGAAATATAAAATATCTTTCTCAGATGTAATGAAAGAATGACGCAGTTGCAGGAGAGTAAGAAATTGCCAAATGCTGTATAAATTTTCCTAAAAGGTCTAAATCCTTTGGTATAAATCATACTTGACGTCACTTAATCTTACTTACAAAATCCATAGTTTTAAGTCTTGTGTCGCTTTGCGCGTTTACACATTTATCGTATGACTACTTCTTTCATTTCTAAATGAAAGTTCTTGCATAATATTTAATCTTCTTTTCTTAAGTTTATAATTTTATTGTTTATATTTTTTCAAAAAAAATATATGTACATATACAGATTTGCATTTAATATATATTATTTTTGATATTTATAATATTAATATAATATAAATCGAGTTAATAATAATGTTACTACTTTGTAAATAACTATGTATTTAATAGCTTACGCTGTTATATAATATTATAGTATTTTTATCAATCTGCATATATATTATTTTTAAAATTTTAAATTCTTATGACATATGATATATCAACTATCATAAATATTACATATCAACTTTTGCGAGAATGCAAAATAATTTAGAACATACAATATGCATTACAATATCGGCGTAAAAAATCGAAATTCAAAAATATATTCATTTATTCCCGATTCAGCCGACTTTCGGACCAATATTTTTCTCGTCTATTTCTTTACAGGGGATGTTAAGAGAAGGAACAAGGGGAATTTCTGAGATCCCAACCATAGGATTCAAATTCCTTAGTTTCCAAATTTTCTTATCTTAATCTGTCGCAATAACATCGCGTTTGGCTCTTTAGTCGAGATGAATTTGGTGGTTTAAAATTGAGAGCTGACTTAAAAATATTCTTATTAATAGTCATTTATATTTGGTTGACCAGTCTTACTAGTAGTAGACAGTTAAACGTCTGAATAAATATCGATTGTTGATCCAGGTCATTGTGGTTATGTCTAGAATGAGAAAATGGGAACTCTATTCAATTATTCGGGGATTACGCACAATGAACGAGCTCAGCGTATTCAAAGATTGCAGCGGCTTTTATTCAAATACATGTTTATTTAACTCTTAAAGTGTATAACTTTGTTCTTCAGAATTTGCATCTTCAAGATTTGCAAGATTGTATTATACTGTTTGTCTTCATAGAATCTATAATGTCGTACAAAACTAATTTAACAATTTTTTTCTGATTTGCTCAAGATCAGCATATTTAAAAGATTTAATAAGAATTGTTAAAAGAATAATAGAAAATTATAACTTATTATTTTAATCGTAAAATAATAACGTTTCGACTTTTTTACGTTTTATGCCTGCCTAAAATTAAATTGATTAATGAAATATCTGAAACAATAAAATTTTTAGATATGTGAATAATTATTATTAATAATAATTTATTGCTCATATATTTTAGCAATGCATTTATTAAAACTTATTATTATTTTTATATACATATTTTTATTGCTAAGTAATACAATATGTTATACATTATAACATTTAACGATCAAATGATTAAATGGTTCGAATATATAATTAACTTTTGCATACACATATATATGCCTTCAATATAGAAATTGTAATTAAAATATAATTATACTAGACAACAGAAGCGTGCGTTTCGCGCGCGCCTTTGCTATATTATTTATATTATTCTTTTACAACTGTCAAATTGTTAATCTTCGCGATGACAGTTGCTTGATGCTATGAATATGACTATAACTTTAATTCGCCGAATTTATGTACATAATTTTAATTCCTGAATTTCTATTGTATTATTCGAGAACCATTTTGTATATACAGGGTGTCCCAGACCTACCGTATCACATGTTAATAGAAGATTCCTGAGGCAATTTGGAGACGATTTTTGCACAATTAATTAATATTTTTTATGTATTGATTGCAATAATAATTTTGCATGCGTCGCAATTTTTGAGATTTTATTATTAAAGAATGATATAATTTTGCTTTGCGTGCATAATTATATTCGGTTAGATTAAACGAAATGATATATATGCTACATAAATGTAGTATTTATATATACGCAGATTTGTTAATACAGTAGGAAGTACATATGAAAGTAATTGTGTTGACTCATAAATCAAACAGTTTTGTTATCAAGTTTAATTATGAAAGCAAATTATTGTTATTATAGTAAACTGATAGTAGAATACTATAATACAAATTTGAGAAATACAAAATAAATTTGAGAAATATAAAATAATTGTGTGTATATTATATAGTTTGTA